CATGTAGATATGTCATCTGCAAATTGCTTAGGCATCCAGCTATGACTTTTTTTTTGGTGAGGCAATTGGGCTTAAGTGACTTGCCCAGGGTCACACAGCTAATGAGTGTTATGTGTCTGAGGCTGGATTTGAACTCAGGTCCTACTGACTCCAGGGTCTGAGCTCTATCTACTGCGTCACCTAGCTGCCCCCAGATAAGCCTTTTTCTAAGTCATCAATAAAAATGTTAAATCACACAAGACTAACAAGATATCCTTGGGCACTGGAGACCTCTTTCCAATATGACAATGAGTCCTTAATGATGATTCTTTGGTCCAGCTATTCTGTCAGCTCTGAATATACCTAATTATAGAATCATCTAGCCTCTTTTCCACAAGAATAGCATGAAAATATCACTTCCTTTGTTAATACCTGGGTAAACTGTATCTACATATCAGTCTAGTAATTATGTCAAAGAAGGTAATGTTAATCTGATGTGACCTGTTCTTGAAAAAACCATGTTGGCTCACTGTGATCACTGCTTTTTTTTTTCTTTTTAAAAATATGGCCACTAACCATCCCCTTAATAAAATACTCCATAATCTGTCAGGAATTAAAGTTATATAGTTGGTCACTGTCCACTGAGCAGGCAAGGTTACTTATATAATCATAAACAGATGAACAATATAAAGTTATTCTATAGGTATCCAAAATAAACACAACTTTAACCAATACGTGTTATGACAGTAATTAAAATTTTTTTCTTCTACATTCTTTACTCCATCTACTTATAGGTTTTTACATTAGTGAACAACTTAGATTCCAAGCCTAAGCTGTAAAACACTTTAAGTGTACTCTGACCTGCTTTGTAAGGTATTTTTTTTTCTATTTCTTACCCCCACTCCCATAATGTTACTGTGATTTAAAAAAACCCAAACTTCTCATGTTTTTCAAAAGAGTACCTCTTACAGGCAACATTCACCTTCTGTCTGTATTATAGTATGAGTTGATGATTGGATTTGGAGTCTGGATTTAAATCCTGATTACTGTGACATTGGTCAAATCACTTTACATCTCCATGCCTCAGTTTCCTCATCTATAAGATATGGGGATTGGACTAGATGACTTTTAAGGTGCATTCCAAGTCTAAACCTATAATTCTGAGCAGATTATACTATGACCTCTCTGGTGCCTTGAAGCTCTAAGTTTAAGATCCTATGACTAATTAGTTTAGCTTGATAACTTTAATTTGTACAGTGGTAGTCAGAACATGTAGAAAACTGTTAGATATTACTGTATACAAGTAGTCATGTCCACCCTTGACTATTACAGCTATAAATGCCACAATCAGACTGACCAAAAAAAAAAAAAGCTTTAACTCATCCCCACTTTGAATTTTGGGTAAGGGAAAAGATATGGAAAAAAGAGGTGAAGAGATGAGATTTGCTCAGAAATAGGGTACAGAACAAAAAAATGAGTCACTCCTTTTTTCCTATGTACAATATTAAATGGTCGTAAAGTTGCTTAAGTAAATGAATAATATGTTAGTATCACTTTGGAATTATATCATTACTGTTTATTTGTTGTACAAAGTGATTTTGGGCTTAAAAACAGTGTGTGTGTGTGTGTGTGTGTGTGTGTGTGTAACATACAAATACCCATATTCTTTAAAAATTATTTTTATTAACCTTGTTTTTACATCAACTAGATTCCCCTGAATCATTTCTATACTCCCAGATAGCCATCTTCAATAAAATAATTTTTAAAAGAGGGGAAGAGAAAATTATCAGCAAAATAAATAAAAACATTGGAAATATCTGACATTGTGTGCAATATTCCAGCCCTGTAGCACTAGAACTTTGCAAAGGGGAGGATGGGAGGGGAGTCAGCACGTCTCTGTATTGATTTTGGTGCCAGTTGTTATTTTCCATTTTGCAACATTCAGTCATTGTTGCAGTCATCATAGATATTGCTTTCCTGGCTCTTACTTCACTCTGCACCAGTTCATGCAAGTCTTTCCATGCTTCTCTGTATTCATCATGTTCACTGTTTCATACAACTCAGCACCATTTCATTTTATTCATGAACCACAGTTTGTATAGCTATTTCCCAATCCACGGACATGTACATTGTTTCCAGTTCTTTGCTACCATAAAAAGGGCTGCTATAAATATCTTTGTGTACAGAGAGCTTTTCTTTTCAGTCAATGACCTCTTCGGAATACGTACCTAGCATCTGAATCTCTGAGTAAAAAGGTACAGACTAGAGCTTGTAGTTATTTTCTTAGCAAAATTCCAAATTTTTGGAATTTCCAGACTGGTTAGACCAATTTACAGCTCCACCAACAATGCATTAGCTTGCCTGTCTTTTTATAAACCCTCTAACGATGACCATTTCCATTTGCCTTTTACGGAAAAGGAGAGTTTCAGGCAAGAATAAAATCATGGTAGGTGAAAATTTAAGTTATGTGGCAGTCTCTACAGTTTCTTCTATTGACTAGTAAAGCCTATCAACAAAATTATAACTGAGAGGAGGGACTGCCATGTCTATCTTTGCATCCCAACCACTGAGCATAGTGCCCAGGACATAGTAGGCACTTAACTATTGATAGGGACAAAGACTAAACTTCTGATTTTGTTGGTAATCAGTCAACAAGCATTTATTAAACACTTACTTCTTGCTGGGGACACAAAAATAAAGGTAAAAAAATTAGTTCCTGTCTTCAAGAAGTATACATTCAAATTTTAAAGACAACATGTAAATATGTAGATACAAAGAAGATGTGTACAAAGTAGATGAAGGTAATCTGAAAGCAGAAGGTAGCAGCAGCTAGAGTGATCAAGGGAAGGCCACCTATAGAAGGTGAGATATAAGCAGAGATTTGAAGGAAACTAGGAAAAACAAAAGATGGAGATCATGGGGTAGAGTACTGTCTAAGGAACTCCCAGAGGCAGAATGGCATAGTAGAGAAGGCAGTGGACTGATTAGGGCTCAAATCCTACCAGGCATGTGAACCTGGGCAAGTCACTTAACCTCTCTCCTGTTTCTTTACCTGTAAAACATGGGGTTTAGATTCAGTGGGCTCCAAGGTTTCTTAGCTCTTAAGCTATGATCCTACAATTTCAGAGCAAACAACATCTACCAAAGCATGTGAGAACGCTTCCTCCACCATAAAGTTTTGAAGAGCCACCTGGAATACTATGTAAATAAGGGCCTAAATCCTTTTTCATCAGCAAACAGGAACTAGCAGTTACCTTGCTGTCACAGAATCAGGAAGTGGTTGTGGTGAGTTGGAAGAGCTATATAGCCACTTGTATGTTTTAAAAGCAAAACATCTTCCATTTGTTGCATTTACTGGGGCAGTTGAGCGGCACTGCACATATACAATGCTTGAGCTTAATTTTGTCAATTTAATTATGCACATCTCCTCCTTGTTTGTTAACATTCTTCAATCACATCTTTAATCTCTGTATTCCAGGGTCACATGGCCAGTATGTGTCAGGAGCAGCATTTAAGTTCAGCTCTTCCTGGATCCAGGACCAGCTTTCTATCCTTGTCTGTTGAATTAAATTTGAACTTTCTTATAAAACGAAGAGAACCCAAAGCACATAGAATACTGATTTTTTAAAAACTATGTTCTGCTTGTTTTGATATTATTATAAAACATCTGTATTGACAACAGGGGTTGTCTTTGCCTCTCTTTGTATCCCCAGGGATGAGCACAGTGCCTGGCACATAGTAGGTTCTTAATAAATACTTATTGATAGAGTAAAATGGAACTTTTTTCGTTAATAAATATAGAGACCCTCCACTTGATCTCGCTTGACCACATACAACTCTTTCCCAAAAGGTAGGTGAGCACCGAATGGCACAGGACTAAAATCAAGAAAACCTGAGTTCAAATTTGAACTCGCTTAGTGACTCTGGGAAAGTCACTGTCTCAGTTTCCTGAACTGTAAAGTGGCGACAGAAACAGCACCTACTTTGCAGGGTTGTTTTGAGGATCAAATGAGATAATATTTGTAAAGTGCTTAGTACAGTGCCTGGCACATAGTAAATATATATAAATATAAATGTTAGCTAATATTATTATTCTGAGATAAGATCCATAGGCTTTACCAGATTGTGTGCAGGACACAAAAAAAGTGGGAGCTTAATAAATGCTTATTCCCTCCCCTGCAATGGAACCTGGTTAGGGTGACCCTAGAGCCTCTATGAACTCTAGCAAGTCTGGCTGATGATCCTGTCTCTCCTGAACATTTATTGGAGAAAGACTGTTTTAACTCAAACTAGGTCGTATTAAGAGAGCTCAAGTTCAGGGCTGGCGGGCACTTTATCTCTGAGGGCTTTAAAAAGCCTACACTTTACGGCTGGGGGATTGTCCCAGTCCAAGAATAAACAAACAAACAAAAGCTAAGCCAAATCTGGGGTGGGGGTGCAGGGGTGCAGCAGAGGCGATGCAAAAGCAACCCTCAGTGGAGACTCACTTAGGAAGGAGGCCGGCGCTGCGCTGGCAGGCCCGGGAGGAGGATGCCCAGACACCGGAGGACGGCCCGGGGCTTTGCTGGCTCCCGGGGTACACGGAGGCGGGGCGGCAGGAGGGCCCCGGCGGAGGCGGTGACGGCGCCCTGCGCTCCGCGGCCCGGCCCGCGGGGGGCGGTAGCGGCCGGCAGCGGCGGAGTCGGCGCGGCCCCTGCAGCGCTCGCTGTAACGGCCACGGGCAGCAGAGGCAGCGGCGGCGGCGGCCGCCCAGGAAGGCGGGAGCGAGAGGCATCGGCCTCGGCGGGGGGGTGGTGTGTGCGCGCGCGTGGGATGATGCCACCCCTCCCCCTCACCACACACACGCACACGCACACACACCCGACCCCAGCGCGGCACGCGACGGCGACTCCCCCCCACCCCCAGACCCCCCTCCCGCCCCTACCGTCCCGGAGCCCTACAACCGCAGCTCCGGCCACCCGCCTCCCCCTCCGAGCTGAGCCCGAGCGGCGGCAGGGGGGGTCACGGCGGAGGTCAAAGGGTAAAGGTCCTGCTCCCAGCAGCCTCCGCGGTTGATACGTCGCCATCTTGGATCCGCGGGACAAGAAAATTCATGCGGTGAGTTTTTGGCAATTTTTCGGAAGTCTGGCGGCGGGGCGCGCGGCGGGGGCGGCGGATCCGGGGTCCCCGCGAGGCGGGGGAAGGCTCCGGGGCCGGTCCGGTCGCGCCGGGGGTCCGTGGGCAGCGTCCAGGTCCGCCGCTTCCCGTTGCTTTTGTCTCGGCTCCAATCGAGAGAGGGAGAGAGAGCGGAGCGGGAGGGGAGGGGGGGCGGCGGCGGTGGAGGGAGGGAGGAGGGAGGGAGCGGGGGTGGGGGTGGGGTGGGGGGGACGGGACGTAAAGCGTCGCTCGATCCGGCCCGCGGCGGCGGCGGCTCCGGCTCCGGCTCCCCAGCCTCAGAGGCCTGGGCCATCCGGCGGCGGCTGCAGCGGCAGCCGGGCTCCCACTCCCCCAGGCGCCCGCCCGCCAGCTCTCGCGGAACGAACCTCCGCGGGGGCCGACGCTGCCGCTGCCGCCCCGACGAGAGGAGGAGGAGGAGGAGGAGGAGGAGGAGGCGGCCGCGACTCGGCAGCCCGGGCCCGGCTCCGCTCCGGCGCCGCCTCCATCTCCTCCTGCTGCTGCTGCCGCTGCCGCCGTCGCCGTGTCGGGCCCAGTCGTCCGTCCGCCCTCCTGCTGCTGCTTGTGTCCGGAGGCAGCGTGGGGGGCTCGGAGGGTGGGTAACGGGCCTCGCTCGGGTCGCCTCCGGGCCCGAGGGCAGCGGGAGGGGGGCACGATCGCGGTGGAGGGGAGCGGAGGGGAGGGCAGGGCGCCCGGGATGGATGATGCTCCGGCCTTCCCGAAGCAGCCCGAAAGCGAGCAAGCGAGCGAGTGCGGACCCCTTCCCGCCCTGAGCCTCGGCGCCCTGCTCGAGGTGCTCCCTCCGCCGCTGCCGCCTTGTCCGTTTCCATTTCCGCTGGGGCCTCCCCGACTGCTCCGGTCTCCAGGCTCCCTTGAAAGTTTCAGGCAAAAGAGAGCCGAGAGGACGGGAGAGGCCCGTCAGGGAACCCGATGGAGGCCCTGGGGCCGGTCCAGGACCCCGCCTCCTGCAACCCCGCCTCCCCCTTTAGATAACTTCCGATGGGAAGTTTGTTTGCAAAAGCATTCCTTGTCTTTTAGATTTTGCACTCCAAAAGAGATCCCGTGGGGACTACTGTACCAACCATATCGCCGTACATAGGAGATGCATCCTAATACCCCTTCCCTGGGTGTACTGTCAGTCTCCTTGTCCTGGAAGTGCAAGGAGCCATCCTCACTTTCCGTCATCCAGTAGATGGAGATCGACAATAGGATTCTGTTCCCGTTCTTGATTGCTTGGAGCCTTTCATGCAAGTTAATTCTCCTGATACCTGTATCTGACTAAACGGCATAAAAGACTGAAAGTTAAGTCCTTTGGCTTGTAACTGCAGAAGCATCTGCTCATGAAGAAGGCCTGCATAGGGTGGCTTAGAGTTAGTTGAACACGTCTAGTGCCATTGCTAGACATTTTGGAATCAGAAATTCAGTTCCACTGTTAGGTTGCTTTTTAAACAAGAACAGAAACAGACAATAGTCAAAACTTTAAAAACCTTCTTTCCTGGGGTTTACTACTTAAAAGATTTCATAGTTCTTTTTAAGTTTGGTATAGTATAGAATTTGCTATATTTTATGATGGGTATTGCCAAAACACTCCAAAAGTGATAACAAAAGAGATGTCATTTGCAGTGTTTGAAGGCATCCCTACCTTAATTTGAAGAGTTGATCAAGAATAAATATAAAAAGTTAATTTTTTGAGTTTTTAGTTTAGTTGAAGTGGCTCTTTTTAATGGTTGAAGGAAGAACATTTGTGTGCTCTGTACATTGTACCAGTCACCTGGAACAGTTACCTTTAATGTATATTTGGAAATTACGTTTATGAGCCCAGCAAAAAAAGATCAGAATACACTTTTTGCAGCTAAAATTCGTAAGAAAATTCTCTAAAGGTTTAAATTCAGCATTGCCTTTGTAGGATTACCTTTCACTGTTACTGGAAATTTATGAGATAAAGAATGATTCAGTAATGTTACTAAATAGTTCAAATGTAAGCATTTAGTTTAGTTTTCAATTTCATTATTTCCCTTTACTAAAAATTTCTTTTAATTTCTTAACAGGTTTTCAGGGTACCTTATTTACAGTCATTTCTGTAAATTCCCTCCCATTTCAAAACAGGAAGTGAGTTGTAGTTCATATTTTTACATCTGTTCTGATGCTTCAGTAAATAAGTTAATTTAAGCATTATTTTCTTGGCAGACTCCTTTCATTCTGACTACTGTTTTCAGAGATGTCTGTAAACCACTTCTGATTTTCCTGAGGGGAGGGAGAGGTGAGAGTTTACTATGTTTTCAACCAATCAACATAACCTTTCTATTTTCAGTTTCTGTGCCACTTAAGTTTCAAAGCAGACCAGACTGAGGGAAAGATGAGGCTAGATATCATGGTAGAAATGTAGTGTGGTATAGTGAAAAGGCATTGGACCAGGATTCAGAAGCTTGGGTTGTAGGCCCTCCTTTCCTACTTTTTTAGGTTCCCTGAAGTTAGACAAGCCACTTAACCTCACAGAATTTCAATTGCTTAATCAGTAAAATAAGATCATAACCTAGATCTTCGAGGTTTTGTGAGATCAGTTGAGATGATATGTGAAAATATTCTCTAAGTTGTAAATAGCCATGCCAATATATGATTGTTGCCATATAAATAGGAGTGAATTGTCTTTTAAACCATTTGAATGAAGCTTCAGTTGCTGTTTAAAAAAATGTAATAGCCAATTCTTAATATGGGATATTTTTCTTTCATGGAGTGCTAGCACATAGCATAGAGTTCATAAGGAGTTAATGAACTTACGACACCTATTTTTTTGTTTTAGGACCCTGGAACAACCTGAGCATTCACAATTTACCTTTAAAAAAAAAAGATGCTTTGGAGGTTTAAAGACCTAATGTACCTGAAAATGCTCTTAAGGAAATAAGCAAACACTAGAGATTTTTGAATAGATTTCTTTAGAGGTATTTCTGAAGCCCAGGTTTTTTTTTTTTGCTTTTTATTTGTTCAGTAAATACTATTGTTAAAACATTTATTCTTAGTCTAAGTAAAATATTAAGTACATATATATCAATGGCTTTTCAGAACTTTTTACCACTCATGGAAAGTCTTAAGTTGACCCTATTTAGTATCTGCTAATGTGCTTTATGAATTTTCTAATGGCACAGAATACATAATGTAAAGACATGTAGTGATACAGATGTATGAGTAAACTTTAATGCAGACTTTGTGTCTGGAGGATAATATGTGCTGACAGGAAAAGGCTTTTGTACCACTTTTAAAAAAAGTTAAGTGATAATATTGATACTTTGAAATGTGTTCAGCCTTTTGCCATTTTGATTACAGTAAGTCTATTTTGTAATGATCACTCATTTAAAAATAGGCTTTGGAAGATTATTTATATTTACCCAAATAGGCATTCAAGACTGTTGCAGAAGTGGTGGTAAAGTGTTAGGTAGTGAATGATTACAGCAAATGTTTATGATTTTAGTTGTCACCCCAGTCTCTAATGATTTTTCACTCAAAGAAACAAGATAAAAAGATAATAGTGAGAAGTTCAGAAAGCGTCACTAGGACATTCATCACATATAGTCCTGATGATATTTATTTTACATTGAGAAGGTAATTCTTATTGACAATCTAAATGAACTATCAAAGCAAATTTCCCAAAGCTGGACCTTATTTTAGGGATAACTTTTGGGAATTTAGTTTCAAGTTGATTTCTATTGTGTACTAGATAAATTTTATTTATATTTTTACGGAGAACAGGAAAAGAGAGCTGCTTTTGGAATTGTGACTCTGTACTATTTACCACTTTTTTTGGTATGAGTTCCTACACTGCTTAGCTTGTATATGTCCCTTTCTGTCTTTCTGCTCTTTTCTGTTTTTATTTTTTTCAGTTGATTGATTCCTTTTTTTGAGGAGTTGGGGAGACAATCACTGTCATTTCTCCCCCCAGCATTCCACAACTCTTCCCCTCTGCCACCACCAAAAAAACCCTTCCTTGTAACAAGTATAAGCACATAAAACAAAGTCACATATTGGTAATATCTGAAAATCTGTGCCTCATTTTGTACCTCTATTCCTCCATCACTCGGTCAAGAGTTGAGAATCGTGATTCATCATCAGTATTCTGGAGTCATGATTGTTCATTGTGTTGATCATAGTTCTTAAGCCCTTCACAGTTGTTTTCCTTTACAATGTTGTGGTCAATGTATCAATTGTTATAGTGCTGTTCACTTCCTTTAACGTCAGTTCTTGTAAGTCCTCCCAGATTTATAGATAGATTTTAAGCAGATGTGGCTGAATATTTCAGACTAAAATTGACAGTTAAAATAAATTATGGAAATACATTTTTGATTCAACTTTTCCTTGGTTTTACTGATACCTTTCCCATCTCCCCACTTGTTTTGTTTCTCTCTTGGTTTGGTCTTCTTTTTGGCTTGTCATAATTTGATTTGTTACTCCCTTGAAGTTTCCCCTACTTTTGTAAAGCATGCTGGGCGTGGGCGTGAGCGCACATGCGCACACACACACGCGCACGCAGAGTTTCATGACATTCGTGAGTTCTGTACATACTGTAGAACCAAATCCATTGGATTATCATTTTTTAAAAAGTTTTATGGCTGCTTATATCACAGTTATGCCCAGTTACTTTTATGACATTGCTTATGTTGGACTTTCCATCCCCAGTTGATCTTTCCTTTATAACAGGAAAACAGCTAAGCTTCTGATAATACATGCAGCATTCCCGCCCTCTCCATTAAGATGAAAGAAGTTTGTTTCATAAATTGTTTTCTAGGTGCAGTTTTGGTCTTTGTGAGTAATGTGAGTTTGGCTGTCTTTTAGTGTTGTTTTCACGTACTTTATTGTAGTAATTGTATATGCTTTTGTGGTTCAGCTTTTTTATTCTTCATCTGTTAATGTAAAATTTCCATGTTTCTTTTACCTCCTCATATTTGTTGTTT